TCTCTTCTGGCTTGTAGGGTTTCTGCTGAGAGATCTGCTGTGAGTCTGATGGGCTTCACTTTGTGTATAACCCGACCTTTCTCTCTGACTGCCCTTACTATTTTCTCCTTCATTTCAACACTGGTGAATCTCACGATTATGTGCCTTAGGGTTGCTCTTCTTGACTAATATCTTTGTGGTGTTCTGTGTATTTCCTGGACTTGAATATTTGTCTGCCTTGCTAGATTGGGGAAGTTTTCCTGGACAATATCCTGAAGAGTATTTTCCAGCTTGGATTCATTCTCTTTGTCGCATTCAGATACGCCTGTCACACGTAGATTAGTTCTTTTCACATAGTCCCACATTTCTTGGAGACTTTGTTCATTCCTTTTTACCCTTTTTTCTCTATTCTTACTTTTCCATTTTATTTCATTGAGTTGGTCTTCAACTCGGCTGTTGATACTTGTGCATGCTTCGTGATGTTCTCGTGTTGTGTTTTTCAGCTCCATCAATTCACTTATATTCCTTTCTATTTTGTCCATTCTCGTTAGCATTTCATGAAATCTTTTTTCAATCTTCTTAGTTTTTTTGCATTGGGTTAGAACATGTTCTTTTAGCTCACAGAAATTTCTTACTACCCACCTTCTGAAGTCTGATTCTGTCATTTCATCACACTCGTTCTCCATCCAACCTTGTTCCCTTGCTGGTGAGGAGTTGTGATCCCTTTTAGGAGTAGAGGTGTTCTGGTTTCGGGTGTTTTCTTCCTTTTTGCACTGGTTTCTTCCCATCTTTAAGGATTTATCCACCTGTCGTCTTTGTAGTTGCTGGCTTTCAGATTGGGTCTCTGAGAGGACATTCTGTTTGTTGATGTTGAGGTTATTTCTATTTCTTGGTCTTCCTTCTGACAGTGTGGCCCCTCTGCTGTAGGTTTTCTGAGGTCCACTCCAGGCCCTGCTTGCCTGGGGATCACCTGCAGCAGCTGCTGAACAATAAGTGTGGTTACCAGTTTTCTTCTTCTGCTATCTTTTTCCAGAAGGATACCTGCCAAGTGTCAATCTGATGTCTCCTTTATGAGGTGGCTCTTTGGTTATACAGGGGTCAGGGGGCTGCTTGAGGAGACGGTCTCTTCTTTATAGGAGCTCAAATGCTGAGCTGTGAGCTCCGTTGTTCATTCAGAGCTGCTTGGCATGTACGTTTAGGTCTGCTACAGCAGAACTCATAAACCACTTTTTGTTCCCAGGTGCTCTTTCCCAGGAATTTAGGGCTTTATGAGTTTCCTTTATGCTGCTACCTTCTTTTTTTTTTTCCTGCAGAGCTGCCCTGCCCAGCAAGGAGGCAGCGTAGTTACTGTCTGCCTGTAGAGGCTTTGCTGAGCTTCTGTGGGCTCCGCCCAGCTGCCGAGTGAACTTCCTTGCAGTCTTGTTTATATGGGTGTAGTTATAACTGCCTCAGCAATGGTGGCCTGCCTCTTTTAAGGTGGAGCCTCTCTTCAGTGGTGGGTTGCCTTGGCAACGGTGGGCTGCCTCAGCAATGGTGGGTTTCCTTGGCAACGGCAGGCTGCCTCACCATTGGCTGACTACCTCGGTAGTGGCGGATGCCCCTACCCCACAGAGCTGGACCGTCCAGGGTTCAGCTGTGCTTCCTGTGAAACTCTCAATCCAGAGAGTTTCTGATTGCTGTTCTTTTGTGGGGGTGGGACCAGCCGAGCCTGAATGCCTGGCTCCCTGCCTCAGAGCTTTTTTTGTTTTTTAAGTTCGTGTTCCAGTCACCTGTTGAAGAGGCACCGGTGTCTGTCTTTTCCCATGCGGCTGCTCACTGCGCTGACTTAAACAGCGGCACTGAGATTTGTGGCGCTTTTTTTTGTCCTGGAATCTACTGTCCTGGTTCCCTGCTCAGCCCCCTTTTTAACCAGACGAATGGGCGACTTCCCGTGGCTCCAATTGCCAGCCAAAAGGGCACCCGGACCGGTGTATTTTGTATGGAGAATCGCTGCTCCGGGGCGCCGACAAAGCAGCCTCGCAGGGCAAAGCAGCGGCGCTGGCCGGCACAGCCGTGCTGGCCGAAACAGCCACGCTGCCGACCCGTGGAGCTCTTCTGCCTGGGAATTTCCTAGTCTGTGGGCAATTAAAATGCGTCGTCCACTCACCCTCTGTGCTTTCACTGGGAGCTGCAATCTTGAGCTGTTCCTAAACGGCCACCTTGGATCATCCTCCCTAACCCAATATTCTAACCTTCATCAGTTAATTCACATGCTGGTGTAAGAAGGCAAGGCCACTAAGCTGGATACAAAAGGCAAAATGGAAGAATTTTCAAAAACAGACTGAAGTAGAACATGAAAGGGTCTGCATTTTGGTCAAATAACTCCATGTTGCCATTCCCCAGGTCCTTCTTAAACTCTTGTAAATATCTAAGAAACTGGATCCACCTAACCAGAAAAAGTCATGAGCAGAATGGAGAAAATGGGGATCTTTTTGAAATGCCTAGAATAATTTATTAGTGAGGACAATTGGAAATATTTGGTTTTAGGCCGGGCGTGCTGGGTCACACCTGTAATTCCAGCACTTCGAGAGGGCGAGGTAGGTGGATCATTTGAGATCAGGAGTCCAGACCAGCCTGGACAACATGGTGAAATCCCACCTCTTCTAAAAACAAAAATTTGCCAGGCAGTGGTGGTGTGTGCCTGTAATCCTAGCTACCTGAGAGGTCGAGGCAGGACAATCACTTGAGCCTTGGAGGCAGAGGCTGCAGTGAGCCAAGGTCACATCACTGCCCTCCAGCCTAGATGACACAGTGAGACACTGTCTCAAAAAAAAAATGGTTTTAGAACCAGACAAATTAAATGGGAAACTTACTTCCAATGATACCTAGAAATTTCTAAAAGAACTGAGAAAATTGCCTCCATTGAGGAGTAAACTGAAGGAGGTCAGCAGACTTTTTCTGAATTGAGAAGTACTGAGGAGGCTTTGTCTCTTTCGCCTCCACCTGCTCCTTCTCCTCCAGCCCCTGCACCTGCATAGTCTCCCTCACCTGAGCTGTCCTGTCCTGCCTTGCTTGCCTCTTCTTCCATCATCATCACTTCTGTTCTGACAGCCCCTTTCAAGGTAATACCCACAGGAAGAGGGTAGCCTACCATTGTGTATTCTGCTTCACCATAATGTGAATTAAATATATTATATAAGACTTCCCTGATCTAAATGAAAATACATTTTCCCTTCCTGTTTCTAATGCAGGCACCAAGATCTTATAGGGTTTGGGAAAAAATTTGACTTAACTGTTGAAACCTTTGAGCCCAAATATTCTAACCTTCATCAGTTAATTCGCATGCTGGTGTAAGAAGGCAAGGCCACTAAACTGGATTAACAAGGCAAAATGGAAGGATTTTCAAAAAGAGACTGAAGTAGAACATGAAAGGGTCTGCATTTTGGTCAAATAACTCCATGTTGCCATTCCCCAGGTCCTTCTTAAAAATGTAGATTGGAGGATAATTTAGCAATGTACTAAAAAGCCAGAGAAATCTGTCTTTGCTTACTTAAAATGGTTTGAGAGCTGGGTGTGGTGGCTCATGCCTGTAATCTCAGCACTTTGGGAGGCTGAGGTGGGTGGATCACCTGAGGTCAGGATTTCGAGACCAGCCTGACCAACATGGTGAAACCCTGTAGCTACTAAAAATACAAAAATTTGCCGGGTGGCTGAAGCAAAAGAATCTCTTGAACCCGGGAAGGAGAGGTTGCAGTGAGCCGAGATACTGCCACTGCAATCCAGCCTGGGAGACGGAGTGAGACTCTGTCTGAAAAAAAAAAAAAGAAAGAAAAAGAAAAGAAAAGCAAAAACAAAAACAACAACAACAAAAACACTGTTTATAAATGTTTACAGTAAAATGGTTTGTGTGGTTTGAGAATCCATGTCTTTATTGAGGCAGGGTCCCACTCTGTCACCCAGGTTGGAATACAGTGGCAGGATCATGACTGGGCCCAGCCTCTATCTCTCGAGCTCAAGTGATCCTCCCACCTCAGCCCTTGCAGTAGCTGCTGTGATCACAGGTGTGCACCACCACACCTGGCTACATTTTTGTTTTTTTGTATAGACGAGTATTCTCTCTCATCTGTTGCCCAGGCTTGTCTTGAGCTCCTGGGCACAAGTTATTTTCTTGTCTGAGCCTCCCAAAATGCTGGGATTACAGATACGAGCCACCACATTCGACAGAGAATTCTTTTTTTTTTTTTAAACAAATGTATGCTGATTTATTACAGGGATAAGATGGTCTCTTGGGGGGTAAATTCAAGAGGAATTGAGAATGTTTTATTCCTTTATGATGTCCCTTACCAGGAAGGGAGGATAGCAAGATTTAGGACAAGCTAAAATCATCCCCTATTTAAAAAAAAAAAAAAAAAAACTCAAAAAAAAAAAAAAAAAAAAAAGTTGCCCCCAAGTAGCCCTGAACAGGGAGGTAGAATATATATATACATCTGCAATGATTCCTAATTGTTTTTGAATACAGAAGCTTGGGAAGGGGTTTCCAGATAGTGTTGGGGAAGGGCATAAGGTCCTATGCAGGTTGGCCGCTTAACACACAGTGCCAAAATGATATCTACTGGCAGCTCCTCCAAACTTCTGACTGTCACCTGCATTGTCACTGTGTCCAAAAGCAGCAACTGAGAGCAAACCAGGATGTCACGACCACCCCAGAACACACCATCCAGGAGCAATGTGTGGGTGTTCTTGTCATCAAGCACCTTGTCTGACCTCTCACAAGGGTGCATTCCCAAGAATTTCATGATGTTATCCACAGCCTTCCCAAATGTTCACAAGGTGAACATTTCCTCCTTCCCAAATTCATCGCCTACCTCATACCAGGCTGTTTTGAAGTTCAGTTGCATGACCTTTTGAATGTGGTCAGCTACAGTAACTTCCAGATCTTTCAGCACATACTTATCCTCACAGCCTTCATCCCCCAGTGGTGGGAGCACAGTCCTTGATTGTGAACTTCAGCATGCAGCTGAATGTCCAGGCCACAGCTGTGGGGTCTCCTTTGGGCAGTGCCACCAGTGTGTAGCAGGTCCCAGGCTGGTTATAGGACAAGCTCTGGGCAGGCACGTAACAGAGCCCCTCATAGACCTCAGTGGGCTCATCTGCACTGTGACATTCTCCGGGGTCTGGCCATTGAGTGTGTTTGTGCAGTCACACTGAAACACTGTGGGCAACTCCCCATATAGGCACCGAGGAATGAGAGCTAAGCAGAACCCTGGCACAGATAGGGCTTGAGGAATATCTCACTTTATAGTGTTACTACTCAGCTATTTCCTTTTATATAATCCTTTACATAATCACATATTAGTTTATAGAAATAGGGCTTGAAGTATCCCTTTATATAATCCTCTATATATGATCATATAATAGTTTATAGTATGAGTGCCTAAAGAATATTTCCATACATATATACCTATAATTATATCTTAGTTCATAATCAGAAGAATGCCTAGAGTGGGCACAGTACAGAGCATAAATTAAGGAATAAGCAGCTTATAATTGGAGGAATGCCTAGAGCAGACACAGTGCAGAGCATGATTTAAGGGAAAAGCAGTTATACCAGGACAAGAATCCATGGCCCAGGCGGCAGTGTTCAGTATCGTAAAGATACCCACTGTATGGCAGGCTTGGGGTGAGAGCCACTCCTCCGCTTCATAAGGCGGTCGATGCTGCTCTCACTGCTTGTCTTAAGGAAGGTGATGTTGGCCAGCGTGGCAATGCTGCGGTTTGAATCCGTGACCAGGTTCTCCAGATCTAGACTGCAAGCTGTCACAGCTGATGGATGCTTCATGGCAACCTTACTGAGGGTGTGAACAGCTGCATAATGGAGAGTAGACTTGGCTGAGCTGCAGAAAAGCTGGAGCACTGGCACAGCCGGGGCAGCTCCTTGGCACTGCAGCCTGGCAGGTTGACGATGGCAGAGACAGCTTCCACACCACCATCTCATGCCTGTTGCACAAGCAGCGCTCGATCAAGTCAAACCATGGACTGTCATGGCTACCATCCTCCTCTTCCAGCTGCTTGCTGGCCACTTGGATCATCACGCAGTAGGCAAAGGAAGACTTAAGGCCATGCCGGGTGACCTTGCTGATCATCTTATTGACAGCCAGGTGGTCATTCTTACACATGTGGTACAGGAGCCCTAGTGTGTAGTGCTGGACCATGATGTTATCACTGGATGCCACCTCCTGAGCCTCATTCACCCAGTGCTTGACCACGTCAAAGCTGCATTTCAGCAGGTGCAAGGAAGACTCAAGGGCAGAGCTGGAGACATGGGCACCTTGTCTACAATGGCCTGTTTCATGCAGCGCTCAGTAGCCTGCAGCATGGTGCTAGTCATGTCTTTTGTTAGGCTGCTGGTGACAATGATGACATCCTCTTCGATGCAAGACATCTCCTTGATGGTCAAGTAGCACATCTGATGGAGTGTGAGATCATTGGACTGAAAGAGCTTGGTCACGGCAAAGAAGGCCTGGGTCGCTTCCATGGTCCCCAGATGTTCCCCATGGTTTATGAGATAAAGAATCTTGGTGAGGATGTGGGCACCTTTCCGAGGACTGACGGGAGTTTCATTAAATACACGGGCTTCTTGGAGTATGGCACTCTTCTCAAGGTGCTGGAATGGGTTGGAGCCTCCACTTGACTTCTCGTTTTTCTTGTCAAATTTCTTCAATGTAGTGGAGCCAGTGGGATGTAATGCAGCAACGCAATGCTTGCCAGGTGTGGCACAGAGTAGCGGTACAACAGTGGTTCTACAGGGACCCTTGATGGAGGATTCTTTAAACAGTATTCTGAAATGGCTGACACTAGCCTTTAAGATCGCCAGAATGATTCCCTTATAAATTGTGCTTTTCTCAATGGCTTAAATAAAGACTTAGTTACCTTAGTGAAAAGACACTAGCTTAGGCCAGGCATGGTGGTTTATACCTGTAATCCCAACCCTTTGGGACACCGCACACTGAGGTGGGTAGATCCCTGAAGCCCAGAAGTTTGAGACCAGCCTGGGCAACATGATGAAACCCTGTCTCTAGAAAAAGAAAAAAGAAAAAGACGAAGAAAAAAAATAGCAAGGTAGTAGAAATATAATACACACAAGAATTATAATCATGAAGGCAATCTGTATTCCAGAAGAGTAAGGGAGCCTATCCATTAGGGAGTCAACAAAACCTCAAATCCCAGTTCACACTCCAGGGTGTGGTGTCACAAGCCTTACTCAGGAGAATGAGTAAGAGGATGGCTTGAATTTGTAAGGTCAAAGCAGAAGTCAACCCTGGTCATGCCACTGCACTCCAACCTGGGTCACAGTGAGGCTTTGTCTCAAAAACAAACACACAAAACCCACAGAAACAAACAGCAACATCTACAGATTGCCATCTCACTCTGAAATGACTGTGGCAAACACCACTGTGCTATTGGGAAATTAAAAGGAAAACACTCCCTCCTGCAATCAACCTGCCCTCTTGCTCTAACATGTCTGACCCATGGGTTAAAATGCCCAAGAGCTGATGTACTCAAATTATAATACACTTTCCTGTTCTGCACCTGAATTTATTTTTGTCTGGAGGAGATCACCATCCATGGTCTTATAAATGTCTAAGGGCATAGAGTGATGAAGGGCAATGTCTTTTGGGATATTTGAATATATATATGGCTCTGAAGAAACCCAACATTGGGCAAGTTCCCTCAAACTTTTCACTAGGCCCGACCACCACTCTATTTTAGATAGAGATTCTATTGGGGCAAAACCTGAAAATTATCTGCCTGGCCATCAAGAAGGTAACTCCTTGCATTTTGTGGGGAGAACACTTTTGCTTGAAGGCAGTGTTTCTTTCTAGGATTACAAATCTTTCTGTAACCTAGGAAACATTGCTGATGAAAACCAGGCATGATGGCTCTGGCCTGTAATCCCAGTGACTCAGGGGTGGAGGCAGGAGAATCTTAAGCCCAGGAGCTTGGGGCTGCAGTGAGCTATGATAGTGCCACTGCACTCCAGCCTGGGCCACAGAGCCAGAGGCTGTCTCTGAAAGAAAAAGAAAGAAAAATACTGCTGATAAAACTGTGTCCTCTTTTGCAGCTCAGCAAAAAGCTATTTATTCACTGGCTGAGGTTGTACTAGATAACCATATCGCTTTAGTGATATATTTAGCTGAGCAGGGAGATGTATGTGTGGTGGCAAATACCTTCTGTTGCATATACCTAAATATTTCTCATGAAGTAGAACCTTCTCTTGAAAAAACCCGAAAAGAAGCCACTTGGCTGTAAGAAATCCATGAAGAAGAACTGGAATTTGATGATTTCCCTGCTGTTTTCAGTTGGCTCCCTAATGGAGCAGGTTCCCTTACTGTTCTGGCACACAGATTCTCTTTGTGATTATCATTCTTGTGTCCATTATATTTCTACTACTCAAATTGTTAATGTTATGTATTTCTCATTTCTTCTTCTGAGAAACTAAATTCATGATACTCTGAAGACTACAGATGATTCAACAAGTGACAGCAACTATAGAATTGACCGAGATCTCTCTCTCTTTCTTTTTCTTTTTTTTCCCCTTCTGTGATGCCACACCAATTCAGCTATTGGGCGCCGTTAAAACTTCATCAGTGAGAGGACTCCCCGTGCGGGACGGGACTATCTGGGAATGAGCCTTTCCGGCAAGGTTTAAACACCTTGGCCCAGCTTTTGATCATCAACACTTTCAAGAAAAACTTTCATCTAAAGGGAGAATAAGGAAAGAACTTTTAGATGAGGAATGTTAGCCTTTTCAAATTCTCAGGCCCACAGAGGCATTACATTGAGACAGCAACCGTGCTCTGCTTTCTCTTTGTACAATACTGTATTTGAAAACAAAACAAAACAAAAACAAAAAACCAAACCTACAAGATTCACGAAATTGGGCAATTGTCCTTACGACAGCGCTACTGGTAAAATCAGGGAGGACGGCTGGCGCGCAGCCATCGAGCAGCCTCTCGGCGTCATCGATGTTTCTCTCTGATACTGAAGGACTTCGGATTTTAAGCGCAATGCTACTTCACAAGGATAAGCGCGTTTGAAAGGAAGCGGTTTTCTGTAATCCTAAACGTTCTAGTCTGCGAATTAAAAGCCATTATTTGAAGATGGATGCACAGGCGTCCAGCTGGCTACCACAGGACACAGGTTAAGCAGTCGCTTCTTTGTGAGAGACCAGCTGCGGGTTCTCGGTGCACCGCCCCAGAGGACAAGGGCGGAAGGGAAAGGAGGGAGAGGCAGAGTCACTTCCCCCACCGCCTCAGGCAGCCGGTTGGTCGGCTGAGTGGCGGAGGGTGGAGCGGAAGAGCAGCCTGACACTGGGAAAGGCACTGTCTGTGACATCATGAATAGGGCTACTTCTATGTAGGTGAGGCAGCGCAGGGGTTGCTGCATCACCAGGAGGGATTTCTGGTGCTGCGGGAGCAAGTCCAGGACCGGTGTTGGATTTAAAAGTCCAGGCTGTGTGTCAGGGCTAGGAGGGCTCGGGGTGCCTGGGGGTGCAGGGAGGATGCGCCGGGCAAGTGACCATGTGTGTAAAGGGCGAGCCGTATGAGGCTGTGTCAGGGTGGAGGTGTGTTAACTCATACTCACGTGGCAGGGGAGATACCATGATCGCAAAGGTAGTTTTTCTGGGGTGAGGTTTATCCATTGTACTCTGGATGTGCTGACCCGTGCGATTTCCCCAAATGTGGAAAACTTGACTGCACAATTTGTGGTGGTGGGGAACTGTGTTCACACTTTCTTCTCTTTTTGTGTGGCATAAGTAATAAATGAGATTTTTGTTTTTGCCCACGGAGGCAGGAATTTTTGGTGATTCAAATGTGTGATGTGCTGTATTTTACTTTGCGACCTTATTTACTGTTGTGGGACAGATGAGTAAACTTATTTTCTTGGGAGGCAACTTTTCCTTTCTGTCTGGCAGAACTCTCACGTTATCTGTGGTGGTACTTGGCAGGTGGAGCTTAGGGAATCTATGCTTGCCTGCTTTGTAGATTCCTCAATGGTCCCCAGGGCCTATTGGCTTTTAACACCTCTTGAAAGCCCCAGTGTTTTTTCTCTGCCCCCAGAGTCACCTCTTATGCAGCCTCTTTTTTTCTTTCTTCCTGAGACAGTCTCACTGTATCCTCTGGAGGTTGTACGCAGATGCTGCCTCAGCCTCTGGAGTAGCACAGGTATGTACCGCCACAGCTAATTGATTTTCTTTACTTACTTTTTTTTTTAAGAGTTGAGGTTTTGCCCTGTTTCCCAGGTTGGTCTCCAACTCTTGGACTCAAGTGATCCGCCTTGCCTGGGCCTCCTAAAGTGCTGGGATGACAGGTGTGATCTGTCACACCCGGCCAGCCCCTACTTTTAACCACAGCATTCCGGGGAGTTTGTAGGATGTCTGTGCTGGCAGGGATGTGTGCTCAGCTCATAGATCCAAGTAGAAATTGCACTCGGAGCTGGTGCGATTGGGTTGTAGACATAACACACTTGCTCTTTGTATGGGAAGGGCTTTGTCAGTGCCCTGATGCCCCCTGCACAGGGCATCGAGGCCTGCAGGTCAGAACCACAGTCTCACTGACATGTTCGTGTCATATGCAGCAGCTCTCCCAGGAATATAAGATGAGAGGTCTTGTGAGGTTCAGAACCTCTGCATTTGTACTGCTCTTGATGAAAGTGCCCTTGCAAAAACTATGACAGTGAGAAAAACCTGACACAGGAAAAGTATGACTGTCAAAGAAATCTGACCTGAGTGACCCTGAGCAGGTTACTTAACATCTCTGCATCTCAGTCCTCTCATATGGAAGATGAAGATGATGGTGTGACCTTGGCCTGTAAGGACTAAATAAGTAATCACACACATTCATCAGCTGTGCCTGCCATGTGGCACTTTGCGTATAAGGCACAGTCGAGGAGTGTGGATTTGTTACTCATTTGCATGTTAGCTCTTGTAGTTTCCTGCAGCAGTGCACAAAGAGCAGATGTGGCCAGGTGCCGGGGCTCATGCCTGTAATCCCAGCACTTTGGGAGGCCAAGGTGGGCAGAGAACCTGAGGTCAGGAGTTCGAGACTAGCCTGGCCATTATGGCAAAACTCCATCTCTACTAAAAATACATTTGTACATGTAGGGGAGGAAATATGACTTTTCCTCACCCAGCCTAGGTTTACTGCTGAGACCCTTACAGCAAAAGACAGACTAACAAAAGAAGAGCATACCTAGTTATTTAATGTAAGTTTTACATGATGGAAGCGCTTTCCAAAGGAAATGAAGGCCCCAGGGAAACAACTAAACCTCAGGGATTTTCCTTTTTTTTTTTTTTTTTTTTAACAGTAGGTTAGGTGAAGGGTGGATAGTCATAGAGAAGTGTGATGGAATGAAACAAATACGATGTGGGTAACCCCCATATAGGTATCAAGGAAGGAGAGCTAAGCAGAATCCTGGCACAATTAAGACCTGGAGAATGTCTCAGTTTATAGTGTTACTACTCAATGATTTCCTTTTATATAATCCTTTATATAATCATATATTAGTTTATAGAATTAGGGCTTGGAGAATATCTGTTTATAGTGTTACTACTTTGTTATTTCTTTTTATACAATCCTCTCTATATAATCACATATTAGTTCATAGAATGAATTCCTAAAGAATATCTTACCACTCAGTTATTTCCATATATATGTATATATACAACTATACATTAGTTTATAATTGGAGGAATGCCTAGAGTAGACACAGTATAGAGCATGAATTAAGGAATAAGCAGCTTATAATTGGAGGAATACCTAGAGCAGACACTGCACAGCATGGTTTAAGGGAAAAACAGTTATACCAGGACAAGAATCCATGGCCCAGGTGGCAGCGTTCAGTATTGTAAAGATACCCGCTGTATGGCAGGCTTGGGGCAAGAGCCACTCCTGATAAAGGAGTTGTAGGACCTTGCCCCAGTTCTTGTGGAAGGCTGCCCTCATACCAACAGTTGCACCTTGCTGACTGTGAACTTTATTAGCTCTTGTTACTGTGCTGCTTGGAAAGCATTCCCTTATAGAACTCATTGGAAGCTACCAGCAGGTGGTGCAGTCCCTGACAGCTCTGTCACTACTATGTGACTTAAAACGTCCTCCTATAAATCTTCTTAGTAGCTTGTCCATAGATAGAGGTATTGCACACTGCACCCTCTTCACTGCGAACGGCCCACCTCCATGCCTCAGTGACCTAATGGGGGTGGACCCCTTACTGCACATGGCCCTTGCCTGGATGACCTAATGGTAATGGACTCCTTGCTGTGCACTGTCCACCTCCCAGCCTAGGTGACCTAGTGGGGGTGGACCCCTTGTTTTATTGCTCACGACCCTATCACAATCCTTAAAGACGATTTCACTCACTGCCCTGCCCCCTAACCTAAACACAATAAATACTCATGCTTCTGGACGTTCGGGGCCTCACCTGACTCCGCTCATAGGTGGCGTGGCTCCCTGAGCCCAGCTGCATTTTCTTCGTACATCTCTTTATTTCTCGGATCCTGTGCCTCAGCACAGCATAAGGGACACCCCAAGACCCTGTGGGGCCATCAGCCCTACAACTGGTGCCCAACTTGTGGGTTTCTTATTGCTGTGCCTAGCGTAGCCATCAGAGCTACTACTGTGGGGAAGTCAGTGCTAGATTCCTGGACGTTTGGTAAGAAAAGCAGGAGTGACTTTTTTGTAACGCTCACAGTAATCTCGGGGTAGAGACTCATTCCTTATGATTGGGAAACACTTATGCAGTCAGCACTCTCTCGTGCCCAATATTTACAGTTCCTTTCATGGTGGAGGGATGCTGTTACTAAGAGAGTCCACCTCAATGCTGCCGCTAACCCACCTATTCCGGTTACAGCGGACCAGTTGCTGGGAGAGGGACAGTGGACTCCCCTGGCCATTCAATCTAGATTACCTGATCTGGCTATTGAACAACTTTGTAAATGCTGCTTGGATGCTTGGGATAAGATTCAGGATGACGGCACATGAATTCCTTCCTTTACAGCCGTCTGACAAGGCTCTCATGAATTTTATCCTGACTACCTGGCCCGTCTTCAAGACTCAGCAGAGAAAGCCATTCCAGACCTAAACAGCCAAAAGGTTATAGTTGAAATTATGGCATATGAACAGGCTAATACTGACTGCCAGGCAGCTATCCGCCCAGTAAAAGCTAGTCTCACTCCTGGCAGTGATGTTTTTTCAGCCTATATCAAGGTCTGTGAAAGTGTTGGCAGCACTACTCACACAGCTATGGTCATGGCTCAATCTATGGCTGGTATCCAAAAGCCACAAAAAACTCCACATTGTTGCTACAATTGTGGACAGCCTGGACACTTCCGTAAAGTGTGTCCATATCGCTCTAATGTATGCAATACTCCAAAACTACAAAATCCCCTAAAACTCCTACTGTAATTCCTCCAATCTCTGCACCTGCCTCTGTCTGCCCCGGTTGCAGAAAGGGGTACCATTGGGCAGCTCATTGTCACTCTTATGACCGGGATGGCCGGCGTCTTCCCCTCTTGCAGGGAAACAGGAGACAGGGCCGGTCCTAGGCCCCTGTAAATGGGATAACCCTGCCCTTTCAGGGCCCCCAGAGGGGACCACTGACCCCTCAAGGAACTTCTCTGCATCAGCCTCCTCTGACCTCAGCATTCCCGGTACAGCCTGCCCCATCTCCAAACCCTCTGCAACAGTCTCCACAAAACCTCTCTGTACTCTCTTACAATGCTTGCCCCCCTCCCCCACAGAATTTCCAGCAGTAGTACTATGTTCCACTAGGGATATCTCCCTATTGCCTGGGGAAATCACCCAACCTGTCCCTACAGGTATTCATGCCCCTCCCCAGCTGGCACCATCGGGCTTATTCTTGGCTGCTCAGATGTTATTTTACAAGGTGTTCAGGTACACACTGATATAGTGGACTCTAATTATATTGGTGAAATTTACATTCCTCTCTCTGCATCTATTCCTTGGTCTGCAGCTGCAGGACATCGTATTGCACAATTACTGCTGCTACCTTATCTGTCCTTCACACATTCCTCAGTTTCTTGCACAAATGGCTCTGATAGCAATAATTCCCAGAGTAAAACTGTCTACTGGACTAGTATTATTACTGACTCTCGCCCTATGTGCACTATCCATATTCAGGGCAAACAATTTCAAGGGATGGTGGACACGGGCGCAGATGTCTCTATTCTTGCACTCCACCAATGGCCACGAAGCTGGCCTAAAGAAAAGACTGCAACTGCCCTGGTGGGTGTAGGCCAGGCATCTGAAGTAGATCAAAGTTCTCTAATCCTACAATGTGTCGGCCCAGAGGGACAGACGGCTACAATACGCCCCTTAATTACCCCCATTCCTGTCAATCTTTGGGGACGTGACCTGCTGCAAAAATGGGACGCTCGTCTTTCCTTTCCTGACACTATCTATAGCCGACAAAGCGCCAATATTATGGCACATATGGGCTATCTTCCAGGTCGAGGCTTAGGCAAGCAGGAACAGGGAATGAGGGAACCCCTGGTTCCCACTCCAAAGCATAATACTCGGGGTCTTGTTTACCCTTTATAGGAGTGGCCACTGAAATGTTCCAGAGCCCATAGCTCTTACTTGGCTGTCAGTCAGAATCCCCTATATGGGTTAATCAGTGGCCTTTATCTCTTGCAAAACTGGAAGCTCTTCACTCCTTACTACAGGAACAGCTAACACTAGGACACATTGAACCTTCTTTTTTCCCTTGGAATTCTCCTGATTTTCTAATACAGAAAAAGTCAGGGAAGTGGCGGATGCTTACTGACCTTAGAGTGGGCAACAGAGTCATTCAGCCCATGGGAATGTTACAGACTGATCTCCCTTCCCCTTCTATGATACCAGACTCCTGGACTTTGCTCATCATTGATTTAAAGGATTGCTTCTTTGACATCCCTTTGTCCCCCAAAGACTGTCATAAATTTGCTTTCACAGTGTCCTCCATAAACAATGTTGCCCCAGCTACGAGATTCCAATGGAAGGTCTTGACACAAGGCATGATTAACAGCCCCACAATTTGCCAATTCTATGTGGGAAAAGTGCTGTCCCCAGTGAGAACTCAGTTTCCCCAATGCTATTTGATCCACTATATGGACGATATTCTGTGTGCAGCTCCTACATGTGAGACTCTTGTTTCAGTATTCTCTATGTTCAGGGTGCTCATTACAGCAGCTGGCCTATCTCCACAGAAAAGATCCAGCTATCCACTCCTTATTGGTATTTAGGAATGCAACTTGAGGAGCGCACAATTAAGCCACAGCTGGTGGAACTGCGAAGAGATAGGTTAAAAACTTTGAATGACTTCCAAAAACTCCTCGGAGATATAAATTGGATTAGTCCAGTATTAGGGATTCCTACCTATGCTCTTTCTAACCTTTTCTCCACCCTGAGAGGAGATCCTGACCTACACAGTAAATGCAGTCTCTCTCCAGAAGCTGAACAAGAACTATCTTTTGTAGAACAAAGAATCCGAGAGGCTCAGGTGTTTAGGATCCAGCCCTCTTTTCCTTTCACTATTTTGATTTTTGCTACCCCTCACTCCCCTATGGGGGTGATTACACAAAATGATAGCCTTATTGAATGGTGCTTTTTGCCTCATGCCGCTACACAAACACTATCAGTATATTTGGATCAACTTTCTACCTTAATAAGACTAGCTTGTAATAGGCTGTTATGTCGGACAGATTTAGAAGCACACAGGTTGGTTGTCCCCCCTCGCAAGAACAAGGTCATCAGGCTTTTGCTCACTCCACCTCCTGGCAGGTTAATCTGGCAGGATTTCCAGGTGTCATTGACAACCATTATCCCAATGTTAAACTTTTTCAATTTCTTTTTTTTTTTTTTAAAGATAGGATTTCACCATGATGGCCAGGCTGGTCTTGAACTCCTGACCTCAGGTGATCCACCCACCTTGGCCTTCCAAAGTGCTAGGATTACAGGCATGAGCCACCGCGCCCGGCCTAACTTTTTCAATTTCTTCGCCTAACTTCTTGGATATTGCCAGAAGTCACCCGAAATGCCCCTCTGGAAGGAGCGGTGACTGTCTTTACTGATGCTTCCTCTAACGGCAAGGCTGCAAACGCTGGCCTCAGGGATAGGGTCTTTCACACCTCAGCTGTTTCAGTTCAATGAGCGGAACTAATTCCTGTCATTGCAGCCTTGGAAGATTTTCCAGGCCCTCTAAACATTGTTTCGGATTCTGCTTACGCAGTTCATGTTACCCGTAACATAGAAACTGCCTTTGTCAAATTTCTGTCAGATGATTCCCTTTGTTCACGATTCCTATGCTTACAAACAGTTGTACAGCCTAGGACCTCTCCCTTTTATATTACACACATTAGAGCCCACACCTCTTTGCCTGGCCCATTAACCACAGCTAATTCCCGAGCAGACACCCTTGTAGCAACTGCTCTACAGGAAGCCTGTAACTTTCATGAATTAACTCATGTTAATGCTTCAGGTCTTAAGGATCATTACGCTATTACGTGGAAACAGGCAAAGGAGATCGTCCGTCATTGTCCCTCCTGCCAAGTTGTCTCTCTTCCCTAGCGTTATTTACTCTAAACAACCAGCGGGTACCAACCCCAGAGGTCTCGCTCCCAATGCCTTATGGCAAATGGATGTGACCCACTATCCTGCCTTTGGAAAAGTTTCTTTTGTTCATGTCTCTATAGACACATTTTCCCATTTCATTTGGGCTACCTGCCAAACAGGGGAGTGAGCTGCCCAGATTAAAAGGCGTACGCTCTCATGCTTCGCTGTGATGGGCATACCTGCAAAACTAAAAACTGATAATGGACCAGGATATATTAGTAAGTCATTTCAACGTTTTCTAGAAGAATGGAATATTCAACATGCCACCGGCATTCCTTATAATACATAGGGACAGGCCCTGGTAGAACGGGCTAACAGGACTCTCAAGGAACAGTTAAATAAACAACAAACACCAGATGACTGTGATTGTTTTACTCCCCAGGCCAGATTGCATCTAGCATTATTTACTCTAAACTTTCTTAACCTTAGCAGGTCTCAACCCTACACGGCTGCGGAACAACATTTTACAGCCATTCAGCATAACCCTCATAAGGGTAAACAAGTGTGGTGGAAAGACACATTCACTGCAAAATGGATGTCAGGTATTCTTATAACCATGGGCAGAGGATTTGCTTGTATTTCCACAGATAACTCTCCTGATCCTGTTTGGATTCCATCACAGCATCTTAAGCTCACCCCTGAGGAACAACATGAGTTCCCACTGCCGCTCCCGCAGAAATCACAGGCGAGCCTCAAATCCGATGGACTAACTTCTCAATGATTGTATCGTCCATCTCTCTAATCATAACTCTTCTGGCCGCCATGCTTCCTCTCACCACCGCCACACTTTCCTCCCTTCTTCTTCCCCTCCTCCCCCTCCTCCTCACCATCCTGTTACTGAAAGCCCACTTCATTAGCCTCTACTCACTTTCACTCAAATTGATCAACTTGTGAATATGGCTTCTCATATTACAGAATGGTGCAATATTCCACCTACTCCCAGCCATACTCTCGCTGCTGCTCTTATTATCCTTTTCACTCTGATGGGTTCCACTGCTTCTGTATCTCCCAACTCTGGTAATTTTTCCTACTGTGCATATATACCTTTCCCTCCCCTGGTACGCTCTGTTTCTTGGATGGACTCTTCCATAGAAATCTATACTAACAATAGTGCTTTCCTGCCTGGCCCTAATGACAACCGCCTACCTGTTCATCAAAACGAAGAAGGCACCTCTTATAATGCCTCTATTGGATTTAAATTTTCTCCTCTTTGCCCTGGGCCCACTCCCGGCTGTCTCCCTACTGGTGTGTGGGTTGTACCTGAGGCCAGTAATGCTTTTTCCAGACCCAATATGTATTTATGTCATTTTCTCTTCACCTATCAGTCCCACTCCAGTCATCGCCTTTGGTCGATGTTATGATGGATACATCATAACAAAACAAAAGGGCCACCTGCTTGCTCCCAACATCCTACGGAAGTCCTGCTCTATATTCAGAGTGTTCACTGGGACCACTGCAATGCACCTGTTGAGACCATAATGGGGCCCACTTGATAATGCTGTTATTGTTAACTGGGCTCCCAGAGGTTTTTATTGGCATAATTGCACTAGACAACACCCGCACTGTCCGAAATATCCTCACGTCTTCACGGAGGACACGACACGCTCAGGACTGAATCAAGTTCTGTGTCACTTTCTTCGCCTATGGACCTCACCATTTCCCTACAGATGGTCTCACGCTGGCATCGTTGCGCCACATCCTAAGAGGATTCACCTTCTTGTTGGACTGGAACATCCTGAACTGTGGAAGCTGGCTGCTGCTCTCAGTGGACTTCACTTCTGGAATGTTTCCATGGACTCTTAAGGTCGCAGTTCTGGTGGCACTCTACATCATCTACACTTTACTCCCAAAGACATAATACCTATTCGAAGTTGTGTTGAGCCTCATGTGTTACTGGTTGGTAACTTTTCTGTTTCCTTTGTCACCAACTCTATTGACTGTAACAACTGCAAATTGTTTTCTTGTCTAGATGCTATCTTTTCTGTTAACGCTAATGTGTTGCTGGTCAGGGCTAGGGAGGGAGTTTGGATTTCTGCTGTATTATATCGTTCATGGGAGTCCTCTCCCTCTATGCTCATTGTAACTCAAATCCTCAAGGACATTTTACATCGAACCCGTTGCTTTATTTTTACCTTGATAGCAGCAGTCATTGGACTGATTGCTGTCATGGCCTCAGCTGTGACTGCTGGTGTGGCCATACACAACTCCATTCAAACAGCTCACTTTGTTGAACGTTGGCAAAAGAATTCCACTACTCTCTGGAATTCCCAGTCCCAGATTGATCAATAATTGGCAAATCAAATTACTGACCTTCGTCAAAGTGTCATTTGGCTGGGCGACAGGGTTTTAAACCTTGAGCATCGTGCTCAGTTACAATGTGACGGGATCACGTATAATTTCTGTATCACTCCTTTCGATTATAATTCTACACTTCACCCTGGGACACTATACGACGCCATCTGCTGTCCTGGGATAATAACCTTGCCTTGGACATTAACCGCTTGAAGCAACAAATGTTTGAGGCCTCTCAGGCACATCTAACTACTGCCCCAGGTTCAGAAACCTTTGAAGGCATGGCACAAGGCCTCTCTGATCTTAATCCAATTAAGTGGTTTAGAAAATGGTCTGTTCCTTTAGGTGGTTTCTCTTTGTTTGTCATCTTTGTGATTGTTGCTTGCATTTGTACCTTGTTAATTACATGCTTCTGTATTTGAAAATTTTATAAACATAATAGGCAACAACTTCAGGCCATGGTGGCCATAACCACACTTGTAAAACAAAAGAAAGGGGAAAATGTGGGTAACCCCCCATATAGGCACCGAGGAATGAGAGCTAAGCAGAACCCTGGCACTGTTAGGGCTTGAGGAATATCTCAATTTATAGTGTTACTACTCACCTATTTCCTTTTATATAATCCTTTACATAATCATATATTAGTTTATAGAAATAGGGCTTGAAGCTTCTCTTTGTATAATCCTCTATATATAATCATATAATACTTGCTAGTATGAGTGCCTAAAGAATATTTCCATACATATATACCTATAATTATATCTTAGTTCATAATCAGAAGAATGCCTAGAGTGGACACAGTATAGAGCATAAATTAAGGAATAAGCAGCTTATAATCGGAAGAATGCCTAGAGCAGACACAGTGCAGAGCATGATTTAAGGGAAAAGCAGTTATACCAGGACAAGAATCCATGGCCCAGGCGACAGCGTTCAGTATCGTAATGATACCCACTGTATGGCAGGCTTGGGGTGAGAGCCATTCCTCCTGATAAAGGAGTTGTAGGACCTTGCTCCAGTTGTTGTGGAAGGTTGCCCTCAGACCGGCAATCCACCTTGGTGACTGTGAACTTTATCAGCTCTTGCTACTGTGCTGCTTGAAAAGCATCTTCCCATAGAATCCATTGGAAGCTGCCAGAAGGTGGCGGTAACCTTGACAGCTCTGTCACTGCTATGTGACTTAAAGCATCCTCCTATAAATCATCTTAGAAATAGTTTGCCCATAGATAGAAGTATTGCACACCGCACCCTCTTCACTTCGCATGGCCCACCTTCAAGCCTGGGTGACCTAATGGGGGTGGACCCCTTACTGCACACGGCTCTTGCGTTCGTGGGAACCGGCCCCTTGCTGCGCACTGTCCACTTCCTGGCCTAGGTGACCTAATGGGGGTGGACCCCATGTTTTATTGCTCACTACCCTATCACTATCCTTAAAGATGATTTCACTTACTGCCCTGCCCCCTAACGTATACACAATAAATATTCATGCTTCGAGTGTGGTGGCACGTGCCTGTAGTCCCAGCTGCTTGGGAGGCTGAGGCGGGAGAGAGAATAGCTTAAACCAGGGAGGCGGAGGCTGCAGTGAGCCGAGATCGGGCCACTGCACTCCAGCCTGAGCAACAAGAGTGAAACTCCATCTCAAAATTAAGAAATAATCAAAATAAAAAAGACAGGGAGTAAGAAAATTGACTTTCGGCGATCCCAAGTTGGGATTTGACGTCCAATGACCCAGGAAAGAAACACGGAGTCTGAACGGGTCCAGGAGTCAAGAGAATCGGGGTGGAGGATTAAAATCGGCTTTGTCGGCTCACGGCCAGGGCGGTGGGTGCGTGTGGGGGTGGGCGAGGCTTTGGCTGGAGTTGAAGCTATCCTGGCGCGGGCTCAACTGGGGGCAAGATGGGCCAGGCCAGGGAGCAGCTGGAGGAGCGCGCCTGGGGTGCACGGCGGCGGAGGAGGGCCGAGGAGAAACGCCCAGAGGACTGCCCGGAGGGCCGGGAGGAGGGGCACAGGGAGGAACCAGGGAGGCCCCGCCCCAGCCTAAGCCCCACCCCACCCCAGCCTGAGCTTCCCCGCCCAACCCTAAGCCCCTCTCCATCCCACCCTAAGCCCCTCCTGCCCCAGACTAAGCTCCTCCCCACCCCAGCCTGAGCCCCTCCCCGCCCCAGCCTAAGCCGCCCGGCGCCAGCCTAAGCCCCTCTCCACCCCAGCCTAAGCTACCCCGCCCCAGCCTAAGCCCCTCCCCACCCCAGCCTAACCCCCCCCCCACCCCCGGTCTGGCCCACCTCCCGTCGCGGGCTGGGAGCTGGAAGCGAGCTGAGTGGAGCCGACTAGAGCTTCACCGTGGAAGGGAAAGCCCCGGAACGATCGCACCCTGCGCCCCTAGCCCCTAGCCGGCCGAGCCCTCCGCGACGCCACCGGGGCCATAGGGGCCGCACGGGGGCCGCACCAGCCCACCGCCCGCCGTCCCGGGGCCCCCGCTGGGGCTGCTCCTGCTGTTCCTGGGCGTGCTGGCCCCGGGTGGCGCCTCCCTGCGACTCCTGGACCACCCAGCGCTGGTCTGCTCCCAGCCGGTGAGACTCCGCGGGGGGCGCGGCCGCCGCCGGCGTGCTCCGGGCGTGGGCCAGGGTCGCCTGAGGATCGGACGGCCGGGAGTACAGCCCGGGCTAGGGAGGCAGGAAGTCTGCGCGGTAGCTCAGAGGGTCTCCGAGGCTCCGGATACCGCGGTGCCTTGGCAGGCCGTCGGAGCTGCGGTGGGGACTGGGGGTGAGGGGGCTGCAGACCGCCCGGCGCGTGTGGCACCACCGGCCTGCCGTCGGGACTGGGGGCTGCCGTGACACCCCGCCCGGGCCCCGGAGGTCTGGGAAGGAGGCCGCGGCGCAGGCCCCGGCTGCAGGAGCGGGAAGGGTTGGCGGAAACGCGCTGTGGGGAAGGGCCTGGGAGGGGACAGGCCGGGTCTGGACCCGGCTCCACGCCGTGCGCCCTGCACGTCCCCGGGCCGGGCACTGCCGGCCCTCGGGAGCCCCATCTCGCCCTTGGGAGCTGCCCTCAAGCCCTGCCCTTCGTGCCTCCGACGGAGCTGGGCGAGCCCACGGCGGCCCTACGGAGGTGAGTGCCTTCAGCCGCCCCCCCAGAGGGACCCCGCGTTCGCAGAGCCGCCACGGCACCACGTTTCGAGGAGAGCTGTGCTGAGGCTGGCTGAGGGCCACCTGCCCAGAGGCGCGAAGCCCTGAGAATGAGCGGATGGTTCTTAAGAGGGCGCCCGCCCTGCCTCTCCCACCCCTTACTACCACCACCTGAGTCTGGGAACCCAGTTAGTGTGCGTTGAGAGAACAGCAACCTTGTAGCTGTCAAGATGTAGCCCGGCAGTGCTCACAGGAAGTGACCCACCCGCCTGCCAGGTAGTGG